CACTGAAATATATACTAACTGGAACGCGCGCTAGAGCCGAGCCGTGTGTACCGAGAGAGAGCATCGTCGAGTGGCGTTTGTCATTGTCTGGCTTATAGGGTGGTCGAGAGTGGGGACGGAAAGGTACAGTCCGATCGAGAAATTAGCTCGTTGTCAGAGGTTACACGGGGTTTGTTTTCTGTTCCTGCACTGGTGAACTAGTGCAGTAAGCTAGAATGAGAAAAATATGCTTGTCTTACTCCAATTTATTGCACTAGTTCACTAGTGTAGGAACAGAAAACAAGCCTATGATCTTGCGCAGTTGTGCTGCGCTTCGATTTAACTTTTGGTTCGAACTGTACTAGACAATGAAAATTGAAAATGGGTGTAGCGGAATAGTTCCAAAAATGGAAATGGGCGTAAAGCGCTGGAATCAGTCGAACGAAAACGGTAGCAGGCAAAACGCCGGGATGGCCGCTCTCAGGTTTCTCTCTGCTATTACTGTCTTGCTTGCTTTTACTGCTATCTCGTTCGCTCCTATTACTGTCTCATTCGCTCACATAACGAAAAATTAATAACTGTTTTTATCAACATTTCATGCACATAGCACGGAACACAACCAAAACGTGCACATCTGCATTATCCACTTAGCCCAAACGTGAACATTGGCTACGTAGTTCGCGTCCACGCTTTCAATATACGCCACTGATATACGCAGAGTTGGGATTACGTGTTTATTGACGAGTGTTTAGTAATGGTCGGGTCCTCGTTTCAATCCCGGCCCTTGTCTTCGTATATTTTACCGTTAAGGGAAATTTAAAAAATTTATTGTTTAGAGAAGTTTTAGACGCCTAGTGTTATATTCAGTGTTTGATCAAGATTAAGCATAAATTTCAAGGATTTTTTAGAGATATCATACTGATATAACCTGACGTTTTTAAAAGGTGTTCCCCCAAAAAGGGGATAAACTTAAAAGAAAAAATGTCCACAGAGGGCATATCGCGTTCGAGAATCACCTAAAACCGGGCCGTTTTTATTGAGTTAGAAATTTGTATTTTTTTTCCAGTGAAACTTGTTCAACGATGCTGCGATCGCAAACGGAAATTCCTGATGTGTCGAGCGACTTTTTGCGTAGCTGCCACGGTGGAGACGTGCGCAAGGTGGAGGCTCTAGTTGAGAAACACGGGATTCGCGACTGGAGCGATTTTCGTCACGCGGCGTCCGGCGATACCGCGTTGCACGTGGCCACGCGAGAGGGTGATATGAACATCGTGAGATACCTGTGCGAACGTTTCGACATGCCGGCATTTAAAGTCAACGTCGCCAACAAAGACATGAAGAGACCATTGCACGAAGCGGCACAATTCGCACAGAAAGACATTTTAAAATATTTACTGACTAAAGGTATACTGTCGTGTTTCTCTTTCTTTTAATTAATTATTTGCAGTGGCAATTAAATTGCAATCAGCTTTTAATTATAAATTCTACAAAAACAATTTACGTATTTTATCAGTATTGTTTTTTCTCGAAGTACATAAAATTAAATTATATTAAATTGCTTTTTTTTAGATTGTGCATTACGGAAAGAATTTACGTTGTGCCTTTAATGGTTAACATTAAATTATATTTAAGTTTAGATTTATAATATTAAATTATATAGATTTGTAATTGTAAGTACTATTCGGTCAATAAAGGTGCATCAGTAGATGCTTTAAAACGCGGCGACTGGACACCTCTGATGCTTGCGTGCACCAAAAGTGGTCCTGCAGCGCGTCAATGCATCAATACCCTTTTAGCTGCTGATGCTAACGCATATTTACGCAATAAAGATGGTTGGACGCCATTGCTCATCGCCTGTCGGGCTGGTGATGAAAATGTGGTTGATATATTACTGAAGCATTTGCCGAAATGCATCGATGATCGAAGCAACAACGGTCGCAGTGCGTTGCATATTGCTGGTAAATATGTACATATACACTGAGAAAAATGACCGATTAAATATAAACGGATAATTCAATTACATAATAACAAACTGATATATCCGATTAAATTGTATATCCGATAAAAAATATTATCAGTTTTTCGATTAAATTTCACCGGTAATTGCATTTCATCGGATAAATTTATCCATAATTTAATCGGAAAACGTAATTGGAAAAATTAACCATCGGAAATACTATTTAATTGGTTTATCCGATGGAAAATTTTCTCAGTGTAGTAAAATAATATACAATGATTTTTTCGAAAATTTTTCTTTCGTCATTAAAGCAAATATAATGCCAATTTTAAAGAATGAAAAAACTATCGCAAATTTAACATATTTTTTAGTGCTTCAAGAATTTTATTAAAACAATTATTCTATTCAACTCTATCTTGATTAAAATAAAGAATTAATTATTTTGGTGAAGTAGAAAAATGTAAAGTTGATATATCGTATTATAGTCGGATCTCTGTTTTGTTTTGTTAGAATGTTTTCAAAATATATCAGAAACTTTAGATCTGTCTCCAAAATTATATTCTGGAAGAATTATAATTCTATCGTATGTACAGAAATTTTGAAAATGGAACACTTTATAGGAACTTTCATTATCTTGAGTGGCGAAGTCTATATCGAATCAGTCGCACAACTTAAATTCACAGTAGTTAAAGATACACAGTCAGTAACGTGACTGCGTCGCGAGTAATTTATCCACTGAACTGATACTTATTATTGTTTATCGATTTATCTTTTACGATTATGCCTTAGGAATTTTCTTTGAATGAGTTAAAACATTTAGATTACTAATCCGTATTATTTAATACATTAATTAACTAATATTTTACTTCGAGTATTTTCAATTTTTATAAAAATATTTTCTAAAAATTGTTTTCAAACTTTTACTGCCCCTGAAATTTCTTATTCATTTATATTAATTCTTTTCTCTCTGCATTTTGATGTGCAACATACGACTCATTTTAATTTTTAATTGATTCACACAGCATTTCACGGTCATGAAAGAGTGATCAATTTGCTCGTCTCATCAAATGCAAATCTTCTCAATGCACGGGACTCTTCAGGCTCCTCGCCACTTCACGAAGCAGTAAAACACGGAAATTTGAATGCGGCAAAGTGCATCATATCTCTGGGCGCCGATGTCAATCTTGTGGACAATATCGGTCAAACTATTCTGCACGTTGCCGCATTAACTGATAATGCGGAAGCTGTTGAGTACATTTTGGAGCACAATCTAATTGACGCGAATTGCGAGGCTTTTTTTGGAATTACGCCGCTTATGTTAGCCCGTAGGAACGATCACAGCGACGTCAGTAATATTCTCATTATACATGGCGCTAAATAATAAAATACATACATAATAAATACTTGTTGTTATTATATCTTTTCACAATTTTTCTTTACATCTTTTGTAATTAATAAATTGCACGAGGAGTTGAAAACATAAGTGATACAAGATAACATTTTTATCAGTTCGATACCTTTTGTGTCTCGCTTATAACTAAATTTGTTTGTATATGTATATATTTTTTAAATATGTTTTCCGGATTTTATTAAAGTATAATAATCTGATCTTCTTACTGTAATTATGACTAAGGATGAAAGAAAGACTGAGGCGAGTGGCATTTTATTCAGAGATTGGTACACATTTATTTATCCTTTGTTTTTCCTTGAATCAGACAGTTTTAAAGAAGCATACAAAAATCAGGAAACGGAGGCTCTTATTAGTTCGGAGATACCTAGGCTTTACATTCTTCTTCGTCCTCTACCTTTACCCTTCCTCCTCTGCTTCGTTAAACTTTCTTTTTTAGCGTGCGCAGGCAGGCGACGTAGTACAGAAAACTCATGCGTGTACTGTAGTTAAGTATGCGCGTGCTTAAACCCTAGAACGCTAACGTAATTAGCAGTTCGTATTAACACTTTGCGACACATGATCTCGAACACTTTGAAAGCAAAAGAGAATATAAAAAACCAACCTGCTAAAGCTTTAAAAAAAATTCATTGCTAACGCTGGAGTGTTAGAGATAGAATTCTTCTAGATGAAAAGTACTAATCGCGATGCCACAAAGTGTTGAAAAAAGCTTCAATTTATTTTATATCACAAAACGCAATTAAAAAACAAAATCAAAATATCGTCAGTGATATAAATTCTATTTACATTAATTAAGAGGAGTATGTCAATAGACAAGCAAGGCATTGGCATCAGAGTGTACCGATGGTTAGCGTTCTAGCGTCAAGTATCGTTTACATCACGAAGGAAAAACGTAAAAGGTAAAATCACAGAATTGTATGGATTATATGCGATCGCGTGGACCCTAAAATCCGCGACTCCCGCGGCTTTCGGTTCGACGGTTTGGGAGAAGGAGATGGCCGGAAGCGGATTAAGCCTTTTCCCTCTATTGACGCATCTCTAAGTACCAGCAACTTTAAATAGTCATATCGGTCGCAGAGGAAATATAATATGGCTATCATTATTAACTATACTAAATACAGTATAGTCGTATAGCATAATATAATACTATAGTACGCGACTCGCTCTAGCATTAACTATACCAGATCGGTATAGTCAACATCTTGTTACTGTTACACTGTTTCTGGGGCTTGGAGATATCAATAGTAGGCTAAGAATTAATTAACGCTACCACAATCATCGCGCTTGCTGCAGAGACCGTCACTTTGATGCCCCATGCGACCGCGATTGTGTTGAAAAAAGAAAAGAACTGTATAAAACTGGTATAAAGTAATTCATGCGCGGATGAATTCCACTCATTTATTGCAAAAATTTTAGTGTATATACTGTACGCGGGACGCAAGTGTTACTTCGTAAGAGGCTTCAAAATGCATCGAATCGGTCCTGGGAGGCGGCGATAAGTCGACAGAGGATGATTTTTAAGCTTTGCCCGACGCACTTCATCTCTTTCACTTTCGAAACGAAAGCTTATCCGCTAAGTATCTCACAGGACAAAGTTAGGAGGCTTACGGAGAAAAGGGAAGGGGTCCTAAATAAAGGATCGGGAGATGCGGGGCGGATCATAAAGGATCATTACGACGAAAGAAGAAACATCTCGATTGAAACGATTAATTAATCTTTTTCGCCTTTTACTCTTACCGTGGAAAAATCGGGTCGGGGGGAGGGGGATAAGAAGAAGAGGTGAAAAGAGAGTGGTCTCCGGGGCGGGAAGGAAAGGGGGAGCGGAAGATATTTACATTTATAAAACGGCTAAGGATAAAACATGCACTGTACATCGTCTGTCCGTGTTCGATTAACGCCGCACACGCGCGTCCTCCCCTTATCCTTTGATCCTTTCTCGCGCAGCGATACACATGTGGACGAGTGTGCTCGACTACGTTTTGTCTTTTCTTCCTTTTTCGGTTTTTCTTTTTCTTGCTTTCACTCGAGACACCCCAGATCGTAATCCGTAAAATCCAAGATCCGCTCTCCGAACTCATTTTCAAACATAAAATCATATCTCCCGTAGGATCCGCCGTATCGAATATAATTCTACGTTTAAAGCGAGTCACAAGAGAGAGCGAGGCTTCAGATATAATTTCAAAAACGTCCGATCCCTCGCGGATCCTCTTCTTCTTCCGAGAGGGAGGGGGAAAAAAAGATGGTTTTAAATATAACTTTATATTTGAAATAAATATGGTAAATTCTAGCGAAATGCGAAAGGAGGATCACTCTCAAGTGGAATTTCGCGTCCCAAGATGTGGACTTTGCGAGTTTCGATCCCAACCGTCTCGTTTACCTCTCCGTCGTCGGCCTACTTTAGTTGAGTTCTGTTATAAATATCCAACGATTACTTGGGCTCTTTAATATTTTACTTCCTTCGCTTAGTTTATTTACACATTAACTAATACGCGTTGGGACTTAAGTTAAGATCCGCCATGCGCGTCCTCCGCGCCGCGTCACCGATAATACATAATAGCTCGTAATAGCTTCGCTACTTACTAGTAAACTTATCCTAGGTATGCTCTCTCTTTCGCTCCGCGCCTATCGGTCATCGTCTCAGGATCTCTCGCATCCTCGCTCTCGGCCCGCCCGGTCTCTCGCGCTCGCGCTCCACTTTACATTACAAGTATTCCCACATGTACAAAGCCCTATTTACATTTATGTACACACAGCTCTCTTCGCACTCGGAGTCCTTCGCGACACACATTGATAACGTGGCCCACACACACACACACACACACACATACATACAGACGCGCGGTGTCCGTGTTCGTGCACGCGATGGGAACCTCGGTCGGGACATCTCGAACTAGGACGCGTCCTGCCGCCGCGTATTCTCGTCGCATGCCCCCGCGAATCCGCGCCTGCCGTGAGTTTACAGCGGCTAAGTTTGCAGACAAGTTTGATTTTCCTCGCGCGGGACGCGTCTTCGCGTTGAAGATACGTCGAGAATGTGGACTATTGTCTCGTCTGACACACTGCGATCGACCTTCGGGCCCGCGACGGCCCTTCTCCCCTTCCTAGGCTTCGCACGAACGTCGAACGGATGGAATGTGGGTGCATTCAACAATTGCCTGGCAATTATGCGGCAGAGGCTCGTAATTCTCCCGGGTTGTAGAAAATTATACACAAGCTACCTGTTTCGGGTCAATTGCTCTCTGGTAAATCAGTCATGGCGAAACTTAAACTCTAAGCAGCTCCCGTGATCGCTGCATTGTAATCGCGACTTTAAAAGATGATAGATCTGATAAGTGAATGCGGCGTTGAATCGAATTCGAGTTCGTAAAGGAATGTCGGCAGTCTTGATTGCAGTAAAGGATTTTATAACATTTATACTGTGTAACGTTCTCAGAGGCTATCCTGATACACGAATGATAGGCGCAAAAAAATCTTACAAAATTCTTTTGTACAGACACCACTGAATAATAATGTTTACACATTTCACGAGGTTTTTCGCAAGGATTTTATTTAAAAAAAATATTTTTATAACTCTAGAAATCTTGTTCACTGAGTTACTGACAATAGTAATAATAACTTAAATAATAATTTTCACGGTTTTTTTCATTTAATTTAATTTATGTTAATCTTTAAAAGCTCATTTAACTTTTATTTTTCACAGAGATTAAATTATTTATTGTCCTGCTCGTCCACGAATGTTACCAATAACAAATACCAATCGTCTCTGACAAAATGCAATGTATGTAATACATAATTTGATCGTACCAATTAATGCGAGACGTAAGCGCAGAGCTCTTGCCTTATAAACTTTCACGGTAGTTAGGGAACAACATGTGTAAAGGCTACCGACGTGCTGACATTCCTCGGATTGGGTGCTTAAAAAAATCATCGATGGACACATGCTTCGGAACGCCGGAATGAGCAACTGTATTTCACAATTGCTCGGGACACATTTACACACTTAACATAGCTGGTACCCCTAATGCGATTATCACTATTACAATTCTCCTATATGCGTGTTTCTCATGAGCGAGAAATAAATCAAGCAACCACGAAGTCGTGACATAGCGGACAAAGATACGTTGAACTTATCACACTTGCCGGTACAATTTCCTCGTAAATTACTATTTTGTGCCAGCGCCAGGGCGAAATTGACCTCGTCGAATTAAATCCTGAATTGTTTTTAGATTTTTATTTTACATTAGGAACGAACTGTTATCAACGCAAAGTGAAATGAAACGTTGAAATTTACAGAAGAACAAACGTTCTCTCGCACAAGGAAATTGTCATTTCAAATATCTTTACAAGTATTTAATTATAGATATCGTATATAATCCACTCAACGTAATTTCATCCACAATGTACTACATTAAGAAGACCGTCGAAACTCGCTTCCGACACTCTTCCTCGCGGACACCGTCCGACGAGGGTCCTCGTGGTTTTCGTCGCCGAAGACGACGAGGGATGGTTGGAGAAACGACAAACTCCCACTCGACACAATTTCCGCTCGCGATACAAAACACTCGGGGATGATAAAAATAAATAGCGCGCGCGCGCGGGATCCCTTGGTTACACGATTAGCTTAGCTCACGCGTTCTCACGTACACATACACGGTTTTGTTTTAAAAAATAGTAAAAAACAGTGACTAAGTGTTTTCGCGCATTTTTCCACGACGCTCGGGAAATCCGCTTGTATCACTAATATTTACTCGCCCACTCACGATTCCTGGGCCCTTCTTAACATTTCTCTCACGCTCGCTATCTCTCTCGCACACAATAATAATATATCGTTACTGTATACATACATATACATACATATATATATTTATTTATTCACTTTTTATTTATAAAAATAACGTTCTGGGACTAAAACGCAACGTTCCAAAGCGGCGCGCGACGAGGAGCTGCCACGTACGACTGATAAAGGCGCTCCAGCCATTGCCCCTCGATTTCTCCTTTGTTCTTCCCGCACGGGAGGAAATCTAATTTCCGGCCATCAGCGCCGAGAACACGCTCCTTATTTGCTCGTCGAAACACGACTCGACGAAGGCTCGCGCGAAGGAACGCACCGAATGTCAGTGCGGAGCCTCGCGTAGAATCGGCTTCAGGCAGAATATAAGCGAGTAGCTGCCTCGAGGTGGACAAATAAAAAAAAAAGATGATGCCAGAACGGACGTTTGCGTTGCAGCAGTTTATATTGATTGAGACGTATCCCGGTGTTCTATGCTCTAAGAAACGAGAACGCTCGTATATGTAATTGGAATTGATTTTCTAATAGCCGGTTTTCCGCCGAATTAACCTTCCGAGCGAAGAAAGGTCAAAAGTTGACGTTTACTTTAATAATTTATTAAATTTTAATAAATACTTGATCTCTTACTTTAGACTGCGCGTAGACCTGAAACCGATTTAACCGAAACTCTTCAAATATTAATTACCAGAAGGTGAAGTGAAGCAACGGACACTGTGGCGAAAACTGCTCCAGTCGTGTTACTTTACGTCACGATGTGAAAAAGTGACATAAACATGCATTTATAAAAAAAAAAAAAGAAACCGTCGTTACTCGATCAATGAATTCTAAGAAGCGCCGAATAACTCGCCTCTTCCGGCGCAAAATTAACAATCGCCGCAGCAATCTCATAGATTTGCAATACCAATCCCTTCGTCGAGCCGTCGTCGTCGATTCCGAACAAGGATCAAGATGTACGGGCACGTCGGCTGGTCGACGGTACCGGCGCATCGTTGACGATTCGGCCGGCGGCGATATGTCTAGGATCTATGTTACAACGTCCGCCTCTCCAGATTTCGGCTCCGCACCGATCACCCGCGCCCGGAAAGCGCCATCGAGATACCTTGCGGTACGCAGACCCGGAGGTGGACCGACGACTCGTATCGTCGCGTCGCCGCTAAACGGCCGTGTTAAGCGCAGCTCGCCGCTAACCAGATGCAAAACGATAACGTACGTCACGCGGTGATTTACGCGCGGTTTACAACTCGGCCACGGAGTGAGCCGCGTTTAACGCCACGATCAACACCGACACCTAATATCGCCGGGCGGTGCGACGGCCGAGCCGTCGGGTGAATCCACTTACCGCACCGAATGCCGGCTTACGATACGCGGTTTGTGTCGTGTCCCGCAACCCTCCCCGGCCCGTTCGCAATCGTGCGGCCTGTGGGGGTCTCCGGGAAGGGTTGACGCGGAGATGCGCCGAGCACCGGCGACGCTCGGCGTAATATTTCCTCCCCCGAAGTCCGCCGCGCCGTGAGGATGGGATTCGATTCGATCTCGATAACACTGTTGTTGGACGTTATTGCCATAGGGGGTGAAACGATATCCACTGGAACGACGCGCGGCACGTACACTTCCCAATTCGATACCAACGAGAAATCAACGTATACTTCTCGCATCAGCACGCGGACGACATTTTAAGAACACGCCAATTTCACGAAAACTGGAATCAATAATGGCCCGGCAAGTTAAAGGAAAATAAATATTTCAAGTTTTTCCAGTTTTCTCCGGTACACATGCAAAAGAAAACAGAAACAAAATATCTTTTCTTTAAAAAGAAACATGTAAAGCTAAACAAATGCGAGCACTACGGTCATTTGGAAAATCGAATGGAATTAACCATTAAAATAAATGAAAAGAATTGACCGATTTGATAAAATCGCAGCAATGAAGATATTGCGGGACACTTTAAACTTCAAACAACGAAATTTTTCACACCTCCACCGAGGGTGGCAAAGTTACGGCCACTTTTCGCAGTATCTACGACAAGTTTATAATCAAATATTAATACGCTGAATGATAGATACTTTTTGCAAAAATTTCCACGAGCTCCCTTTCAAAATAATAAAACTTTGGTTCGTCACGCTCGTACGAAATCTACAAAAACACCGAGCCAACGACAAATCTCCTCGAGAGCCAATCCAGTCGCGACTGCTTCGGACTTCGGCAAAAACAACCCCCGTCTTCATCAGGACTCGTTACGTTCCGATCTTCATTCGCGCCGATTGGTTCGCCAATTCCGAACGCCCGGCCACGACGGGCACCCCATCATCGTCGACTTAGCCTAAACGAGAGGTCCGCTACAATTGTGTTATACAGAGTCCGCGTCGCGGTGGTACGCACTCACGCACACATGTATACACGGTATACTGGGAGAAACGGGGGCGTCCGTTGGACGATGTGACAGCCTTAGTTAGACGCCCGCCGATCTCTCGCATCACTCTCTCCCATTCTCTCACGCGCTCTCACCCGTTCTCCTTCTTCGTCTCGCTCGTCCGCGAGGAGACGTCCCACCGAACTCCACCTGAACGGAGACAGGGTCGGCGTTCCCTAGAACGCTCGCGATACGTCGATTATGGCTAAAACGCGACGAGGTCCGGCATCAGGACACCGTCGCGCTTACGCTTGAGCTAAGAAGCGGCACGTTCGTCTCCCGCGTGTCCCCCTCGTGCGCCCGGGTGGGAGTCGCCGACACGTTGGTTCATCCTCTTGAGGAACGAATTCATCTCGATACCGTCACCACCGTCACCCCCATCACCAACCACGTGGCCCCGGGACGAAACGGACCGTCCAGACGGTACACGCCGCGCCGGGAGGTCGACGATACCTAGGTCCCCCAGGAGAGTCCGTCGTTCCTGCGCGAGGAGACGAGGAGGGCTCCCCGGCCCGGGTCGTCGTCGGGACCTAACACTCGCTGTAGGACGGCGGCGGCATACCGCGACCCGTGTACATGTCCGTCTGCGGCTGCAGGTGGCAGACGACGGTGTGCCCGTCCAGCACGGCCACCGTCCGCGTGTGGTCTTGCTGCGGCGGCATGCCGTACGCCGCCGGCAGCCGCGGCAGATCCCCGAGCTCGTACCTGGCCTGCTGCCGGCGCAGCTTCTCCCAACAGGCGTTCAGGGTCCGCTCCACCGCCGGCCCGTACTCCGTCGAGTCGTAGTGCGTGAGATTACTACCGACGCCGCCTCCTCCGCCGCCGCCGCGCTCCGTCATCGCCTGGCCGTAGTGCACCAGGTTGCGATCGGCGGCGGGCGAGTACGGGATCAGCGGCCTGTGGTCGCCGTAGCTCCTGGAGGACTGCCTGCTCATGTCGCTCTGTCGACGGCCGTCCTCGTCGGACATGTCCGACACCTGGATCTCGCCGGCGCCGACGATACCGCCGAGGCCGCCGTTGCCACCACCGTTTCCGCCGCCGACGCCGACGCCGCCGCCTACACCGCCGACGCCGACGCCGACGCCGCCGCCGACGCCGACGCCGCGCTCGATCTCCTCGTACACCGGATCGTCCTCGCTGGTGAGACCACGTGGCAGATGCACGTGTTGTCCGTGGTGGCCGTGCAGCTGATGATGCCCGGCGACGCCGCCGTTGCCGCGGCCGTCCACGATCTCGGTATACGTGTGATTGTACGGCATCGCGGCGCGTCTACCGCCGATCGTCCTGGTACCAGCGTTCATCTCGCCGGTCTCGTTCGGCCCGCGTCTCCTGCCGGAGTGGCCGAGCGTCAGGGTGTTGTGCGTCCTCGGGGAGTCCTCCTGCTCGGAGCCGCCGTGTCCGGAGTCGCGGGAGTAGGACTTAAAAGAAATGTTCTGCGAAGAGAGAGTTGATGCTTGACGTTAGAACAATAGGCCAATGTACATGGGGATGGAGGAGGAGGGTAGGACACGAAACGATGGCGTCGACACTTCCGCGCCCATTCAATCCCACACAAGTACGAGGGCTGTTTGCTCAAAGTTCTCGGAAGTATTCTCGTGGGGTACAAGTGACGCACAACAGACGTCATACGTTGAAGGGAAAGGTTCAACCCTTCTATGAATACGTATGAAATTACAACTTATTCCATCAAATAGTTCAGTTTTTATCTGTGTCAGCAAATAACTTATTTTTATAGCTCTAATGAACATATCTGCGTTATTTTTGTAAATTAAAGGAAATTCATTTTGCAAGTTAAGGGGTTTATTCGACGCCTTATTCCGCACGTCAAGTAAGAATATCTTTTGCTGACAAGCCCTCCTTCGCTAAATATGTGATTCACAGCAACTGAAATTTGTTCGTAGAAGAATTACAACTTTCCATTTAAATTGCCCTCGTGCATTATAATGATCCTTTTTTTTTACGAGTTTTACAAATGTACAACATTTATGCGCAAATGGTAACAATAAGTTAATCATTCAAACGAGTGGGATCGCCGGACGCAGAAGTGTCAAATTTATGAAACTCACCAGAATATTTTACACAATTGAGCTGTTTATTTCACCGCGCGATCGACGGATCAATCGAAGAGTGTCAAAGATATCTTCAAATATTGGCATTTAATAAACCGCTAACTTTCTGTATTTTATCTACACGACACTCTTGATTTACTAAAAATATTTAAATCATATGTGCCCCAATCTCAAAAGGGAGCTTGTTAGGAGAAATCAGGTATTATATTAAGCTCTCCACCTTTACTTGGCTTGATTATATTCACACTACTTTTAAACGAAACGGCTCAATTGATGATCGCGCATGCATGAGAGGAGAGAAGGTTCCACCTCGCGTTACATGAGGACCGTATTTCACGGTTAATCATCCTCCTCTCTTCATTGTGCAGCCAAAAAAGAATAACACGCAACGCAAACCAAGGCACACAAGATGAGCTACACACAATTCATGACAGGATAAATGGAGCACTGTGTTCTGATATAAAACGTCATATAACCGTGTATTCGCATTTGTTCCCGCGCGCCGGACGCGCATTAGAATAAGAAAAAAAAGAGAAGGGGCGGGGGGGCAGGTACCGGAAGAGCGACATGGCTTATTCCATAACATCTCCGTCTCTTCTGGTTTTACTTCGGCCGGTGCTCATCAATCACCGCGTTTTGCTATATCGGGATAACGAGCATCGCTAAAAGTAAAAGTATAAAAACGTGGTACAACAGCACTTAGTGCATCAAAAAAAAAGAGAGCTCGAGGATAAGAACGAAAAAGCCTTAATAAAGATACTTCCATTGAACAGGTCTCTTTTCTTCACAGCCCAAGGGGTTAATTAAATTTTAATAATTGATGAAATTTCATTACTTGCACTGCACCTTGTAAATAAAATAAAGAAGTTAAGTCGTTTTTAAACATCATGATATAATTCCTTTTTGGTATTCAACATTTTGAAACCGTCACTATTCTGCAATTCGAAAGTAAAGCGACAGATAATTCACGTTTCAACAAAAGAAAACAATTTTTGATCCGTTTTACTTGCAAATTACAGAGAAATGTCGCTTGTTGGCAGCTCTATTGATGCATAACAGAAACGGATCGGAGAAAATGACAAACGGAGGATTGCGGCGCAAGCCATGTCGCAAACGTGAAAAATAATCTCACTTTACACGTCAACAAAGTGTGTCCGCATCTCCATGCTCAATATTCGGATCAGGTTCACTCCTAGGATGCGTAAGGGTGACTAGGTGCTGTGCATGAGTGAAAATTAATACCGCACACCATGCAGAAATAAAGAGAGAGAGAGAGAGAGAAAGAGAGACCAAAAGACACACGGTGTACCGGAGACGGCTCTAGTTTTAGCGAAACTTTCGGTGAAAAAATTACTTGTGTACTTAAAAAGCAAGACTTTAAGCTGCAAATTTAGTTTGACAGTTTTTACATTTCCGCAAACGTGTTAAGGTGATAATTAGCAAAATCCTTGCAAGAGACAGCTAAATGCTCGCAGATACGAGGATAGTGGTTTTCGAGGTATTCGCAAACGCGCGGACTATATACTCAATTAGTGTACTTCTCACTGCAAATGCAAGATCCTTGCAAATACAAAGACCGTAGTTGGCTCTTGTAAACGCAAACTGCTTGCCGACGTGAAGATCGTACTTAGGATATCATCAATGCGGAAACAGCGGTTTAGCAAATCCTTGCAAACGTACGAACCGTAATACGAGATATTCGCAAATACGAAGCTACGATTTCGTAAGCGCCGTAGCTCGACGCCTCGTTAGACTTTTGCACACATTGTTCCAAAATAAGGAGATTCATTCATTTAAAGCAACCGTTACATCGAATTGATAATGCAAACAATGTAAAATATCTTACCAAGTTAAATAATACAATTGTAATTTATTAATCTTCGACTTACGTGCATTGAACAAAAGTGCCTAGTGTCTTTTATACCAAGGTGTAACGGTACAAGAGTTGAAAAACGATCGCAAAATTCGTCTTACGATTAGAGCCGCCCCCGAGGTTGAGAGACACAGCGAGCGATTTTAGCGGTGAATTAGTTACCTTCCACATGAGGTTTTTGTTAAGGTGGCCCCAAGTGGCAGTGGCAGATTTGGGGATATTGGGAGCTGAGGGTAAGAAGGCGTGACGTGCGTACGGCAAGGTGGCCACGATGTGAGCCTCGGTCGAGGCGGGTTCACCCGGCACCGTTACTGCCGGCTGCCTATCGACTATCGCCCAGCTTCGACCGGATACCAAATACTGCAAAAGCAACCAATCCGCCGTTTCCCCCTTAACCCTTCGTTCACTGATGGGCAGGGCCAGCCCTGTCGGTGTCGCTCGTGATTTAGTGTATACGTGTATGAAAGGATGGATTATTCTCGGGATAATTATCCCATGCGTGATCACCGACCGAAAAATCGAGACGTGTCGCCAGACGATTTAAATGTTTGCGTGGATTCAATGCGGGCGGTTCGGCTCAGTAAACAAAGAGTTTCTCAGCCGACAATTGCGTTGATTGGACAACTCCGCCTCGGAATTGCAGAGAGAGAGAGATGCTGGATAAATTTGCCGTGATATGAAAATCACAGATTAAAGAGAATCTGAGAACTCGCTGTTTCTTTCGGAGAACTTTGACAGAATTAATGTCTCTGTCATTTGTTTTAATCCTTTAGCTCTGTGCGATTTTAATCGAAAGGATATTCGTTATTTTTAATTTCTTCCATTGGCAAAGGAATTTGATCTACTTCTTTATATTTTAGACAGGAAAGAAGTGACTTGATCTTCAATTATCGAAGCAGAAACGTATTAGAAATTAAAAAATGACAATCAGCTTCGTTGACAAAAAATACGGTCGTGTCCATAAATACACGTAATCGAAATTGAAATCACTGGGCGGAGGGACACCTTGAGTCTCTCGATCGATGAAGCAACGGGACGAAAGAGACCTCGCGCGCCAATTAGGATACATAATTGTGTGGATACGGGGTGAGGGGGACGCGTAGATTTCGCGCGACACGAGCGGACACGTGGGAGATATGGGCGCTGTACACACATCCAGCGATATCTCGCGCCGCGCGCGGTACCGGAAGCGGAACGGATTTAACTCGTGCGGGAGCAAATCTACGGCGTAGCGCTCTGAGATACGCGACGTCGGCACGCACGCTGAAGGATTCTCCCTGGACACATCGCGGCCTCCCCCCTACCTCCCGCCCTTCGGCGAACGAGAGTTTGTTGCGCAAAGGACGACACGTGATTGCGCCTGTTTCGAGACTCTATAGGGACGGGTCACGCGACCGCCTGCAACCGGACTTCCGGTCCGAATGAAACCTACGACCTGCGAGGTCGAAGAAGAGCGCTGCACGATGCCCTCCGCTTGGACGACTCGTCTTCATAGCGCGGAGAAAGTTGCCAAGTTGTATCGAGGGATCTTCAAGATGAGAAAAAGTCAAACAAGTTCTTCACGAGAAATTAAATCGTCTAAATCGATGGGCATTCTGACTTAAAATACTGACAGGCGATAAGTTAAAAGTTTCGAGAGGTATAAATGCCTCGAGTCCAGTCGGATTGTTTTATGCTACATTTCTAACTCCACGTGTTATTGCGGATGGAGATTTCCGGTAACAAAACCGCCCACGTCAGAGCGGAGATTCGTCATTTTTACTTTACCTCGTTTCGTGGATACGCGGTTTGGCGTTAATCAGCGAAACGCATCCGACGATAGGCATGAAGAGAAAGAGAGAAAGAGCGAAAGTGGCCGGTGAATGAGCATGTGTGATGCGGTGAAGGTGTGACAAATGTAACGGATTGGTTCGCGCGCGGATTTTCCTTGCCCGTACCTTTCCTTTTTTCCCCCCCCCCCCCCTTCATTTTCCATTAGGTGACTGATCGTGTGGGTGAGTGCCTGAGCGAGCATTTGAGCGCCTTTTAATCCTTCGCACTTGAAGCACAAATCCGATTACCGTTTTTCTCTTGCCTTCATTTTATTATCACAATTATTAAATCTGTTTTTTATAAAATTCGCATAAAGTTACCAACATTTATCGTTTGCGTTTCGTTCTCATCTTCATAACGCTGCTTTTTAATAACACATGATAAAAAGCTAATATTTAAAAAAAAATAAAAAGTACAAATGTACGGCGAATAATTTTTTCCTTTTTACTGACAAACTGCGGAATTATGTTGCTCGCTCAAGTCGCGATTAACAAATATAATTTCGTATTGACATTCTGTCGGTCAGTCGGTAATGTGACAAGTGCAAAGGGTTAAACGTACGTTTCTCAGCATGTCGGCGGGTCTCGACGGAAAACGCAGAAATTTTCGTGCAAGCGGTTGCAACGTAATAATCGTTACGCGCGAGCATTCACATTTTCGAGAAAGCGTTTTCCATCGATCGCCTGTGTTTGCGGGCGAAAAGAAAAACCCACTTAATTACTCGAAGCGCGTTCAGGCGGAATACGGAAGTGCCGTGGAGTGCAAGAGAACAAAACGACGTGAAATGCGACGTGTAAGTGCTCGCATAGAGTGCATCCCTTCGTACTCCGCCCTTCGCGTGTCTGGTTAGAATTGAGGTCCGCTAGTACATTACGAATCTTTCTAAACGTATACCTTCCCCGTCGTCGACGGAAGTTCGTTTGTTTGAACCCCTCCGTCGTGAAAGGGCGATCTGGTTGCGAATAAAGTAGCATGGATAATTACTAAAATAAAAATAAGTCTTTATACGAGATTGTCGCGACAAATGCCGGCAGTCTCTTGTTACTTCAATCTTTACTGCACTCGATTCTTTCTATTTTCAAAAATTATATTTTATCAATTTTTAAATTGTGCAGAAATAGAAATTGCGTCTCTGCCGCAAAGAATGACATAAATATATAATTTATGTGTAATACTTTAAACGAAAAATTCAGGGTTGGGAAAGTTACTTTATAAAAGTATCTAGTTACAGTTATAGTTTTTTCGCTAAAAATGTAACTAGTTACAGTTACCCAAAAAGTAACGAATCGTTACTTTGCAGTTACTTTCTTGCAATGAAAATAAAAATATCAAATCTGCATGTGAATTGTAAAGTGTTCGATAAATGCGTTTATGCGCAAATGCAAGGCATAATGTAATCTGTGGAGGTTTAAAATACATATAAAGTAATTATTATTGTAACTAAGTTAAGTAACAGTTACAGATGGGGAGAAAGTAACGAAGTTAGAGTTACCAAAAACAGTAACTGTAACTGTAACTTACAGTTACAAGTAACGAGTTACTTTCCAACCCTGGAAAAATTCATACATTGTATAACAAATTGATAAGATCATTTTCTGAAGACTGTAAGCAATATAAATAAGACTGATTATCCATAGTAATTTGTTTCAAATATTACAGCTATAATAAACGAGTAATCATCATCTTGCTGATCAAATAAAACTCTGATATATCAAACATGATGAGCAAGAGGATTGATGACAGAAGGTAATATAAAGAAGGCGCGATGAGGACGTCGTAAATTATAATTGCATGAGTGTATTTGATGTGACGCACTCACACGTTTGAAATCATTTCTACTATGATTGGAAGAAAGGCAGTAACTGACAAGTGAAGCTTACGTTTTGCTCAGTTCTTTTCGTATTATAGTGCAATGATAATTTTAATGGCAAGTTTTCGTAGCTAAATTAAAAGCGCGTAATTTACTTAATAAATCAAATTAGTGAAATTAATCCTTAGTTTGAAAATAACGAAACATAATGATTTTGAAATATTCTGTTAATAGCAGCGTACAGTTAAAGACTCGTCACATTGTTTGGCATAAAATTGTAATTTGTTTATTAATATTTAATGATTATATTTAGCTTGACTTACCAGATTTAGTTCAACTGTAACTGCGGCTAAAATTCCCTGTGTAAAATACTCGTTTCAGCAAAATTATATCACTTACTGCCTTTTACTTGATCACAGATTTCATTGACGAATCCGGAAGGTCTGAAATAAACGACGAATCGCGCGAAATCGCGCTCTTCGTAGTGAGAAAGGGAGCGGGCCGGGGCATAAGAGGGTACAAAGTAGCCAGCAACCGCATTACACCAAACCCCGAAGCCAGATAAGAAGCACGGAAATCACCACTGTTAGTAGGAAGTCTTGCGGGCGAGCGTGCTCGCGAGAGTGCGAATTCGAATGTTCGTGCTGTGCCTGCCTTCCGCGCTTTATTTACAGAATGGGGACGTCGTGCATTATCGAATCGATAATCTGGAAACGACATCTCTTCAGCCGAATTTATTTGTAAAGAGATAAACGTATACTTTTTCTTTCCTTTCCTTCCTTCAAATTTTTAGAATCAAAGTTTAGAAATTCTTTACCGAGGGATTCTTTAAACTAGCTCTGTGATAAGGAATACGACATCGCGCATTTTATGAAATGTAAATTAATTGTTCAAAATGTGTTTTCCCTTTTTTGACACGGAACTGATCAATGCAATAATTTTCTAGAGAATTATATTTACATGTTTCTGAACAGTTTACGATTATTGAGCTGAGCAGCGTGTTTTATTTACCCCCTCTATTTAAAATCCGGGTCACTTGCTCAATAATTTGATGTTCAAGATCCTCGAAAGATTGTCATTGTCTGTCACTTGATATTTTAAATAAAGAATACCGGATAATACTGAGAGACATTCTCTTAATTGGAAGTATAACAGAGTCGTGATCGTATTAACAAGGCGCTCGAATTAAATTGAGAGCAAGAAGAAACAGCGAATTTCATTTATTCCTTTAACGAGCACAAAATGATATACGAGATGCGCTAAGCAATGACCTATTTAAATAATGTTAAAAGTTAACTATATATACGGAATAATCCACCGAAAAAAGCTAATTGCAAGGAAGAAATGTTGCTTCATGTAATTAGAGAAATAATAAACCATTACAGATTTCAATCTTATCAAATTTTGAACCGATCATTTCTTTGTCAAAATTTAAAGCTGGGTCAAAATTTAAAGCTCTAATTTAATGTCAGCAGTTGAAGACCATTGCAGCTAAATAAACTCTAACGTTGTAAATAAAATATTATAAAGCAATTGTAATTTGAAATAAGCATTTAATATAAACATTGAAAAATTTAAAAGTACTGTTTGAATTTATAAAATTTCTCGTATTTTCAATCATTTTTAACATTAGTGTTTTCCTCTGACTGGCGTTTTCCTACAAACTGTCCTATAACAGCATACACGAGCACGTTCAACAATCTCTCTTCCGAATACATTTTTTGTTTCGCTAGTTTCTCTGTCTCTCTTTCTCTCTCTCTTTTTCTCACTCTATTTTTGTCGGCCAATTCTCTTCGACTCTCTGAGCGCGACAAGGTCGAAAGAGCTGAACGGTTCGTTAAATGCCTTTTAGTCCGCCGTTTTGCGAGTCAGTTTTTGAAGTGACTTGCTGATAACACCAAAAAAAGCTTTCAGGTTCATGTCGATTTTGAGCGTTAAAGCCGAATATACACTTAACATTATTCATAAACATACACTTTCAGAAAGTGATAGCCACATATTTACGAAAATCTAAATCTCTGTGAAATAATTTCTATAACGCGCAAAAATTACTTTCAAAGAATGAAATTGTTGATTGTGAAGTTGTAACACGTTAGTTTCACACTTTGATATAAAAATTTTGAAAGAAAAATTGACATTTATCGAAAAGTCCTACTATTACAAATTATTCCTAAGAGAAAAATCTATGAGTATACTAGGTCTTTGCCTGTAAAAATAATAAAATGCTAGCAGGACCGCCTGCCTTACACGCTGCAACAAATTTAATATAGTACATTAAAAAAAAGAAAAGAAACGCATTGATGCTTCACTTAAAATTCTATTGTTTGATTGTTAATTGAATCCATCATAAGCGTGTGATTGGGAACCAAGTAACTACGTTTAGCGTTAAATGCGTGACGAACCAAGGTCCATTTGTACGCACTGGAAAGATCGAGAAAGATAGACAGAAACTGTAATTCACGCGGAAATACGACGATTAACCCTAGCAACCTTTCAATTGCTGCGAAGGGGCGAGTTTGAAGGAAGGCAGGCTGGAGCTCTGAGCAACAGGCAAAAAGTAAACGGTAATAATTAATTATAGACGGATCATACTTGTATGTTACTCATAATCAAACTAAAAGGAATAGAGCGAGTGAAGAATATGTAGAAAAAGAAAGAGAGAGAGAGAGAGAGAGAGAGAGAGAGAGAGAGAGAGAGAAAGAGCGAGAGAAATGCAATTTATTGATACTCTTGAAATTATTTTGATCGTAGGAGATCATGTACACATTGTTACATATGCTAGCTTGACTTTTGACTATACAATATCAGAAAACGACTTTCTGCTACTGAATCAAGTATTGCACCGTCATTACCATATTATGAAAAAAAGAGAGGGAGAGGAAGACGCGCACGTTTCCCTTTCGGACTCCTACAATTCCAATCTTTCGGCTGCTCCGTGGATAAGACACAGTATAGTCGATATTCTTGTGAGAATTAAAATGTTGTAATTTTTGCAAATACTACGTCGTATCCTTATTAAGCAAAGTGAAGGGAAACACGACAATTCAAGAGCCCCGTTTGGTCGAAACGACGTGGTATCTGCGAAAGTTACGAACACAATGCGGGACCACGATGGTCCTCGATTTTCATAAGCAATATCGATAACTGCGCTCCCGCGGGACGACCGCTCCACTTCGCTTCGTTATCCGTGTGTCTCGGTTTGGTGTATAAGCGGCGTTTGGATACCTTGCTGAGCGGGATGCCTATTGTGGTTGCTAGGTGCCATCATGTGCATCTGGTGTGCCCCGACCGGCGACCTCAGCGACAAATTGTTCAGGTTCACGTTTATCGAAAGATTCGTATTGTTACAGGCGGCGGTCAGGTTGTTGTGATTGTTCGGTGATGCAGCGCTGACGTTGGTACCCACATTGGTGGCTGCGTGAGGCGACAGCCCGGAGCTGTCGGTGGTAGGGGCCGAGGGATTCGACGAGGTGTTGTGCGAGGCGAAGTCCTTGCCGCCGTTGGCGCCGGCGGTGCCGCCGCTGCCGCCGGTGGAGCCGGCCGAGCCGCCCGTCACCGTCTTCGAGCACCTCAGGCACTTCGGCAGCCAGGAGTGACGGCGCACGAACTTCCGGTACTCCTTCCTCACCTGCAAGAGCGAAGCAGAGCCCGCCCGACCCAACGAAACGAGTTTAACGGTGCGAGAAAAAACTAAAGGCCTGTGCGAGACAGCGTGCGGATGTGCGTCATGTGCACTTCTGCGAGTCTGATACATGGAGATTGCAGACCGCAGGCTGCAGACGGCCTCGAACGAGCAGCCGTGGTATGCGAGTAAAATTATCGTTGAGAAAAACTAAGTTGCGCTTCCTTTTTTTCATTTACTTTCACTTCGCGTCTTTTGTCACCTTCGAGCAAAGTTGGAAGGCCGTCTGCGATCAATTGTGAAAATGTTGTGCAATCTAGGTTCGCAGGCTCGTAACTCTAGTGCCGTTTTAACGAGAAATAAAAATAATATCGGTGCTTCTCTCGCGATGATAAGAAAAAAATAGAGTTCTCAAATTCACGAGGAAATTATAATTGAGCCCACTACGGGTGACGAAAGTACGCGAAATAAACGCCAGTAACTTGCATTGCGCTTTATTAGACTTTATTGTACAGCGCCTCGTTAGACAGATCATTTTCTCATCTCCATGTTCCGATTTTCACGCGCAAAACAATACGACGGTAACATATGATTATCGTTCCAGCAATCTTAATTAGTATTAATCGTCATCGACATGTTCAACTTAAGCGCTAGAAAATTCTCCAACTTTCAAGTTTAATATTAAAAATCGATACGCAAGTGAGAATAATTTATAAAAAGGATTGTTACAGCTCACTGTCTCTAAAGAGATATAAAGTTTACACAGTTCCCCAGGCAACGATATAACACATTCCATTACAAATCACTTTGTAAAAGGTATGCGACAAAATTGATCGGACCTTACAGGAGACGCGTCGATGCAAAATCAAATCGTTCTTATAAAAAGTTGCATCGCTCTTAAGTAGAAATCGTTACACATATTTTCACGAGCAACTCCGATTTTTGTTGTTTGCATCTCTCTCTCTCACGCCGGGAAACACCCGGCGATGTTGCCGGAATGGCTTAAATCAAGGCGGACTTCTGTGCCCCGACGTATTCCCTTACCTTCTCGTTCTGTACGCAATGGAACACAAAGATAAACAGCCCCTGGAGACTATTCAATACGGTGAAGATGTACGCCATCACGACGGATTCTTGGTTTAAGTAGAGAAGCCCGAACGTCCAGGTCAGACCTAGTAGAAACACCAGCACGATAGCGCCTCGCAGCCAGGCCCTGATCAGAAGATACAGAATAATAAATTACATCGGAGAACGGCTAGCCAAGTTTCTGTTGTACAATACAAATCGCGATGGCGGCGCTTAAAGGGGACCAACGTATCGTCGCTCCGATGGAACATGATTTTCTCGAAAGAAACGAAAGTCTCGTCGAGCATCGCGCCTCCTCGTCGCGGGAAACCTAGGATCGATTGTGCTATTTAAGCTCGCGTTAGCTTATTTGATGAAAAACCTACAACTGACACGTGGATTCTTCGGTAAAAATAAAAAGATATTTTCTGCAGCTCGAAGGACGAGTGACGAAAACGTCATTAGTACGAACGCGATAACTGTATGGATTTCCAATTTTTCGCAACAATTTTGCGACACTGTTGTCGTCACATCTAGTCGTTAATTGAAAGCAGTTTTAACGTCACGACCAGCTAATTTTAGAAACTTTCTAATATGAGGAGAGAACGAGCTTTAATTATTTATCTCATTTTAATTATTTAGCAGCAGTAATTTCAATTTTTTTTTCCCTAAATTAGGTGCTATTCGTAAAAAAAGACGTAACGATAATTGCAGCCGATCCCAGGCTTCCTCGGTCGATCGCAGTTTTAATACTTGACATTATGACGTCGAGGGGGAAAAATAGTGCGATCGTCATGTAGCGTCGTGAGACACGCGAAGGCTCGTCGACGACGGCGACGTTTAAACGTTTAAACGTTGCGATGTTATGCTGAATAGGAGTTCTTTTTTATTTTTGCAAGTAACGCGAACGCCGCTTTGAGCGTCGCCGGAATCGCGACGTCTTATCTAAACCGTTATGATTAGAACGTGTGGCGTTATACACAGGTAGGCGGGTATATCTCTACGGTACTTCTACGTCTATCTACTTGTAAATCAGGCGTAATACCCGAAACTAAGGAGAATACTACATGCATGTGAATTATCGTGTCTACTCACAGGAAATGCATGATAAATATACGACAGGTGCTGTAGTTATTATATACATACATAATCGGTAGCAAGAATAAGTTCAGTTACTAGAGAAACATCGGGTTCACACACAAATTTCACATACAAATACAAAAAAAAGTCAGAAACACTTAAAAAATGTATCATTTTTTAGGGAAAAAAACATCTGATTCGACAAAATCAAATTATTGATCATAAAATTGTATATTAAAATTAATTATAATATATATTTATTTAAATCTCGTGCTTGTCGCTTATCAATCACGAGTACGAAATATTTCATTCCGCGGTATAAATAAGCGATAAACACAATTGGAATAAATTCAGAAATTAAAAAATTATTAGAGCAATTATTTGGCAAAAATTATTAGGCCAATATCGTTGTGATTAACTGAAGGAATAAAAATGTATATGGTATCGTATTTTTTTGGAAATTTAATTCTCACACAAATAAAATTGCTGTTTTTTATTGTAACGTATTAAATTAATTCCAGAATGATATGTATTAATATTGAAATTCAGCTTTCACAGTTTCAGTTTGTAAAATCAGATCATTCGATTACAAATATTGACTTGAAAATTTGCGAATGTCGAATTCTATAAACACACTACTTTGCTCTTTTATTCCTTCGACCAATGTATTAATTACAATTACGCACACAAACGCTGCATTGGCGTTTTACATCGCGTTTCCTATGAGTGTTACGATATCACGTGGTGGCGAGTGTTTTGATGTATGATGTGAGATACTAGAGTCTACGGCTACGTTCACAAAATCAGTGTGAAATGATATTCGGATAGCTTAATCAAAATGAAAATGGACTAAAGACAAAAGAAATGGGATGATATCAAATGAGACGAGCGAAATGACGATTAATGACAACGTTAACGATATGACTGGTGAGTAATAATAAAAATGGTAAATATCTTACAAGTGCGCTTGCAATTTGTTGGGAAGAGCATTCTCTTCCTTTCCACTACCAACCAACCACGCCATGCAGAAGAATGTAGAACAGTGTAGACAGAAGTGGGTAGAAGATTTAATACAAAAATGAAACAAGACAGCAGTTAGGTGATTGTTTCCGGCACCATTAATTAATTGATTATAGCTTATTCTCTGACTTGCAATGCTCGATTCGCATTACTTTTTGCCGAGCGCTCTGAAGCACGGCCGTTTTGTTCAACAATCGCAAGTAAAATGGTTGACACAATTAGTTATGTAAACAAGGAAGTACAGCAATATTTTAACGCCTGTTATCGCAAAAAATATTATCCGTAATAATCCGAATCGGGATTGCAACAACTTTTTCACTACCATCACCAAATTATTCACGTATTTTCACAATTTTATAAAAATCGACAGATTTTTGCTTTTTTTTATAATAAATTTTACACAAATTACTAACTATGCCTCCGTTCACAAGATCCGTAAATTAAATGTGAGAATATACAGGGTGTTCCCCTGAAACGTTCCCAAGAAGCGATACATAAATTAAAACACATTTTTACATATTTTATTTATATTATCGTCTACAAAGTTAACAATCCACAGACACAATAATCTGAAAAATTCAAAATCTACGGAATCTAATAAAAAAACTTTAAAATTCACAGGCTGAAAATGTTCACATTTTGCATAATTTTTAAAGCATTGAAAAATTATTATTGCAATTTGTTTGAAATATTTTTCACTTATTATTAATATTTCTTTGTCACGGGACATTGAATTTCAAAGGAAAGAAATGTGAGAAGTAAAATTCAAGAATCTTGCAAAACAAATGATTTACGAATTCACAGAGTGATCTAAGTAAGGAATAAATTTAGAAAACTACCACGATGGTGTTCTATAAGCACTTGGAAACACTATGGCGCACCCTGCATATGTTTACGACAATCTGTGTAATCGAAACGATATACTCGTGTATATCCTAGGTATCACAGCAATACAGTGGTGTGTCGAACGAACGAAATCTGCGGTCATTCCAAACACAGGAACTCAAAACCAAAACCAAAAAAGTCAGCATGGCCGCCAAAAGATGCGTGACAACAAGATCCGCGTTCGGGAGATCTCTTTAAGCAAGTAAAGCTTGCGAACGTGTAAACCGAAAGCACCAAACAAACATCTCGATTGCTACTCTTCGACGGGAGGATCAAATCTCGAACGTGACGGACAACGGACGCACTCCACTGGTACACGGTATATACAGTTTGCAATTTATGGTGATTTACTATGGAAAAAAAAAGAAAAAAAATACAAACTACCAGGGACCACTGTGCTTACCTTGCGCTAGCCAGTCGAGAATGCTCCTTGCTCTTCATGGCCACCGTGGTGTTTGCGTGCCGGCACATCATGTAGATCGCCATCGATAGAAATACCAGATTTGCCTGCGAGGAGTGACGTTAAAATCGATTACGTCATCGGGACACATAAAGTTGATTAAGCAAGTAGTAACGAATATCCACCGCCAATGCTGCACAACGTTTCCATAATTAACTGTTTAGCTAGTCGACAATATATCGGACAATTACCAGTATAACGAGTATCACAGGTCCGACGAAGCTGAAGATGAAATAATTATCCGCGCGTAGCCAGCAGTACCGATCGGTACCGTAGCTGAGTGGATCGATTATGCACGAAATTGCCACGACCAGCAGCGGTGCGCCATACGCGACCAGATAGTACCACCGAAGCCGCGATTTTTCCGCTTCGAATACCTCGATCAGCATAACGTATAACTGGAACCCTGCAACGTAATGCAAAATCATGTACAAGAGGTGTATAGATTATCCCACAAAATGAGAAAATAGCAAATTAAGATGTAAATAAGATTGGCTGTCCAAGTTATTGTCCAGCTCACCTTCGAGGAACATCCAAGCGAACGCGCACAAGAAGAAGAAGTGCAGTAAGCCGGCCACGATGCCGCAGACGATCCTCTGATTAGTTTGACCGATCCCGCAAACGAAGAGTACCTCGGCAATCAGCAGGCACACGCAGAGATTTTTGTGGATCGTCGTCCTGTCCGACTGCAAATCGGAGGATCAGGGGGTGAGAGTGACAAAAAATTCCATCTCGCCGCGATTGAATGCCGATCGATCGGCGCGCTCGCGCAGTTATATACATTACCTTCAGTCCGCGAAATAATTGAAACGTGAGAATGGCCAGGACGAGGCAGACGACGGAAATGATGCAGCCTATATACGTGATGATCTGCAGGGCGACCTGATGGGCGATGTCCAGCCTGACGGCGTGCACGTCCATCAGCACGGCGAAGTTCGTCAGGTGATTGCATTCGCACACGGTGTGAGTTTCGTTGGTCTTTTGTATCTGGCATCCCTCGTCCGACCAGGCGCTGTGGGAAATAAGGTATCGCGTGTAGAGGAGATAGTCATTGTTCACTTTATTGTTACTTTCCCATCGCGGCTATATAGGACGCGTTGAAAGTTGCGCGGGGATAGTTATAGATTTTCTCTACACGGCCAGAATTATACATATAATAGATAAATGAAATATTTTATATAGCACATGTATGTGTGTACATTTGTATTCTGGCGTCGAGTCTATTCTTCTTATCAAAAAACTCACAGAAAGTTGCGATTAAAAGTTACATTTCCAGAATGAAAATTAAAAACTCTTATTCTACAATCAATTTTAAGTAAATCGAGTACCGAACGTGTACAGTATATCGAATCTCTATAACTGAATTTGAAGAAGGACTTTTTGGATTAAATAGTAACAAATATACTTTCTACTTCCGCGGGTAGTCGCACAATGCGCAACGGGAGAGCACGGGAAGAGAAAATTGAAAATGAAGAAATAAGGGAAAGAGAGAGAGAGAGAGAGAGACTCCTCGGCACTTTTAGTATTGTAGAAAGTGGAGATGGGATCGGGCGAGGGCGAAATTACCTCAAGATGTAATCCCAGAAGACGCAAGTGGGGTTGGTGACGTTCTCGACCGCCAGATGCCTGAAATACACCCGAACGGGCTCCGAGAGCTGTATGTGCCGGCCTTTTCCCAAGGACGCCGAGATAACTTTGCTGTTGAGAAGACGGGTGGTGTTTCGCCGCGGCGGAGGCTGGGGATCGTCGTTCATGACAACGGACGGCGGCTCCGCTTGCGGCTGTAGTATCTCCTCGAGTCTGTCAAAGGCCATGAAGACCAGCCGGACGATCCCGGCCTCGCTGTTGTCCAGCAAAGCGCCCCTGGTAAGTTCCACGCGATCGTTCGAGACGGTCCACCTTTGCTGGGCGGCCTCGCTCGGGAAAACTTCCAGCTCGTTGTCGATGTTGCGCGCGTCCAGTACGCGAACTTCCATCACTGCGGCGAGGACACGCACGTGGCTAATTAAGCGAGCAAGGTGTAGCTTCCTCTCGGCGGCGTTTAACGCACCCCGTGAGAGTTCGCCAGCCGCCAATTTGCGGAAGACGCGAATTCAATTACGGCGGAACAGTGGTTTTCAAACTCGGCGCGACGAACGTGTATTTTGGGTACATACAAATTTAATTTTTTTTTTCATCAAATAATGATAGAAATTGGAACACTTCGTTGTTAGATAAACGTCATGACTGTAAGACAAATTTGTATGCAACTCTGAAATGCCTTTCGAAAACTTTTTTTAAATATGAAATAGAAGTCACTTCATTAAATATTAAAAAAAATACATTTTCGCGCGTGTCATGGCACAAATTGGAAACCACTGCGACAGAAGAGGGAATTTTTGTTATTTTTTCGACTTTTACCTACGCGGAGAGAATTTTTTGTTAAAATTTACCCTGAACATTATGTAGTCGTGGGACAAATGTATATGATTAAATTTTCAAAAACTCGTACAGTTCTTCGAAATGCCATGTTCTCCCACGATTCCATAATTTTGTAATCGTCGAACAACATGACATTTCGAAGGAGAACCAGTAGAATGTATACTAACAAAATAAGTATAATCCTCAGTAAAATGTACGACAAAATTTCAAAAGACTCTCATAAAAGTCTTCGAAATGCCATGTTGTCCGGCGATTACAAGATTTTCCGGATAAACATTAAGAAAAGATTGTCACACCCTGAACGAAATTAAAAAGGGTAATTTAATAAAACAAATCTACTGACAAATTTATATCCTTGAAAATCCACCAAGGAGCTCAATCGTTCCAAACTTTGCAGGGAAATTCATTCGTCGCGAGAAAGAGCAATGGTCCTAACACACTGTGCAATTCGCTGCGAAATGAAGGACTGAGAAATTAAGAATTGATCGCGGGGTATCAATCAGCGGCGTTGCCAGGAAGAAGGACTTAATGCGCTTTCGATCCTTCTTTTGAAAAGGAGGACGTTACACAGCATCCGACCGGCTGTCGCTCATCAACTGCCCTCCGCTCCCCCCCACCCCCCTTCGTCCTTCCGACGCTTTTTGCTCTCCGCTGTTATGCAGTTTATCAAGCGCGCATCTGATGATGCACGTACACAGCGGCTCAATCAAGCCGCGACGCACTTCCGGGAAGTAAATCAAGTCGCTCGTAATTCCACCGTCGTTTTGTAATAATAATAGCGCGCGCCCGCGCCGTACTCGTCTGGATTATAACGTAATCCGGGCGGGTACCGGGGAATTACGATGGATTCGGATCTGTATTTTATCTATACCGGAGATTACCGGGTGTTGGGTGCGCGAGCAATATAAATCATTCCATCGTTCGCAACGAGCGCGCCGAAGGCGAGTGCAGGCGTGCATTCCGTGACTTTAGAAATCGCCGATACGAAAAATAGTTATAAATATACACCGGAGGAGCACGACGATTCCGGTTAGACAACCGCGCCAACTCCGTCGCGAATTGCTCGGCGAAAAGAATGCAAATTGGAGCTTAATAACATCGCGATTAATTTACAAACTGATATTATCCCCCAAAGACCGAGACGATTTTTTTAACATGTATTTCGCTCATATACAATTTTTTGAAATATAAAACTTATATAAAACTCGCATGTACTTTCTCTCCCTTACGTTTTGCACTCACGCTCGGCGACGCGCGAATAAAGAGTTATGAAAAATATTAATCTACGGTCTCTTTAGATTTCAGGCTAAATCGAGAGCCTATTTTACGTTAACGACAATAGCAAATGAGGCTCTTGATGTAATTTCGAAGTTATGTCCTGCAATTATCTAGGCAATTGTGTACAAGACGAGATGGCGACCTAACGAGGAGGATATCGAGGTGCTCAGTGTCCCCTTACTTGGCATGTAAAGAACATAATAAATGCGTAGTCTGATAAATTGTTGCGTAGCAATTGCCAATCATCATTAGCAGTACTCACATATGTTTTTGCCCTCGTGCATAATGGTCTTCTCGTGCATAAGCGTGTCGGCCAGCAGGAACGCGTTCTCCTCAAGGCCGATCAGCAGCGACGTCGCGACCCTCATCTGCTCCTGATGACTGAGATCCTTCCAGGACGCCATTTGCGCCCTGTCGAGCAGGTTGCTGCCGGTCCTCACCACGCCCTGGAGCAGCTCCGTGACGCTGACCTCCCTCTGACTCGGGTCTTGGTAGGTCTTGATGTCCAGGGCCATCTTCTCGGCCATGTTCTTGATGATCTTCGTGGTGATCATCATGTCGCCGCCGTACAGGCCGCGGCTGTTGTTCGTCACCTGCGAGAGTTCCCTGCTGATGCCGAGAATCACGTCGCCGTCCGTGACGCGGTTCTCCAGGGTGGTCAGCCAGACGGACCGGCACTCGCTCAAGTCCGGACTGTCGCGGTGCCAGAAGGCGGACTCTCCGCGGGGCAGGCATCGCCATCTGGCCAGGCCGTTGGCGCCGCCAGGGCAGCTCTGCACGGCCACTTCGCCGGCCCGGGTCGTGTTCCAGGACAGGTTCCTAGCTACCACCGGCGGACACACTTGCCTGCCGTAGTCGTACCACTGGCCGTTCGAACTGGACTCCGGGTACAGCGTGCTGGGTACTGCAACAATATGATTACGACCCGGTCAGTATGATCGTCTTAAGTGACCGCCACAGCTAACGACTGTAGTTAACGGCTCGGCGTTAATGCGATATCGCCGTCGCGGCGTCCTCGGGGACGCAGCTCGGTACGCAACGGCGCTCGGAAATGGAATTTCGGTCCTCCCCGGGGGGATCTTAATGCCTCGTCGCGATCGAACCAGAAGTGTTGCTATTTACTCGCGTCAGTTTATAGAATGTCTTTGTTATAGGAATGTGTTTGCCGTATAATGTACAAGAGAGAAAAATAAAAGAGAAACCGAGGCGATAGCGGCCTGTCTTTAGACGCTGTTACGATCACAACAGCTGTAATGCTCCGGTCATCTATTATGCTTAGGCGTCGTCTAATACGAGCGGCTTATCCTCAAAGTCAACTTATAGATCTGCGAACCCGTAACCGGGACACAGGATATAGCTCGTTACTAAAGATGTTATCACTGTTGTCGATACAAGACTGTCGTGTGTAATCGGCAAATTGGTTATCGACCACTAATCGGGCGTCTCTGGATCCTGAGGATCCACGTTCAAAAATATGTCAGACTTATCGTACGCAAAATCAGAAACCAAAATGGCATTGTTTAATCCGGCCGACGTATTAATATTAACGTTTCAAAACGGCACATATTATCCAATGTTCCCACTGAAGGAGGGAGAAATCTTACCGGTGGTCCTTCGGCTGGTTCTCCAGGGAGCGAAGGTGGACGTTGTCGTGGCTTGAGTGGTCTCGAACATAATCGGCGGCACCGCCGGGCCATTCGCCGGAGAACCATTCGCAGGAAGTATTAAGTCCTGATCCTCCTCATCGGCTTCGATGTCGGCGGAGGACCTTGTTGACGTGGAACTGAAAACGGAGGGGGACTCGTTACTCTCGATGGTCCTCGTACACGTCGAAATTTACGAACGTGTAGATCGCGCCTGAATTAACGATGCGAAGGAAAATATTTATTCTCGTTGTACAGACAGCGATTGAAGGAAATTGATGGGGCGCGTAGAATAGCACGCGAGGAGAAATTTATTACCTCCACACTTTCCTTCTGCTCTGTTTTTATGCTTACGCGCGATACATATGACTAATATTGAAGTACACGTGAATACGATTCCGGGTTGAAGGCCGAAGTTTTCCCCCGGCTTTACCGCGGCGTTGAGCCGCGTTCGAAAATTCTGATTTTTCTAGCACACTGACCTCGCCGGCGTCGTTATCGGCATCGTCGGGGTCGACACCGCCGGTGGTTGTTGGGGTGGTTGTTGTGCCGGTGTCGTAATCCTCGAGGGAGGCCTGACAGTCGGCTTAGCGGTGCTCCAAACACTCGGCTGTGAAGTTATGAACCACGGCGGACTTGGCCGGGACGTTGTCGTGGTGGTGGCCGCTGCGAATATTTCGTCAAGATCGCTTTAATGAGGACGGGAAGACTGGCAGCGCGAGGGAGCTTTCGGGGGCGAAGGGGAGAAGATCAGGCAGTTCGTCTACGAGCTTATCGTACTCGAAGACTGGGTATAATTAAGAAGGAAAGTGATTGCAGGGGTGCGGGATATTTAAAGCTTTCGAGAGGTCTCTCCGGCTCGGGAATATCCAAGTCATCCCTCTACTTTCTCTCTTCTCCGTCCCCCCCTCTCGCTCCCTCTCTCTCTCTCTTTCTCATTGATACGATGGGGAGTTTATCCACCGCGTCGAATTTATATTAGACTCTTGTTAATCATTCGATAGAGTTTGAATGAACTGTCTGTACTTTGCGTATATTCCCGATAGACCGAAGGAAATGAGATATCCGCTGCTCGGAGATACCAAGGTACTCTCATCTCTGTTTTTCTTGGCCCGTTACGCTGGAAGGAGCTTATCCGCTGTATCGGATTTATATCGGATTCTTGTTAATCGTAATCATTCGATAGAGAGCTTGGGTAAATCTCCTTTTGAGAATATCAGATATAGTAAATAATATTTGAATTTTATCAAAATATTTGACGCGCCTGACTGATCAAGATAGTTTCGCAGATTTAAATTGATTTTCTAATAAAATGTAAATAGTGAAACAAGATTTTTACAGACGGAAGTGATAAGAAAGAGATACAATTTTCAGATTATAACAAGCGTAACTTTTCAATTTTACCAAAATTGAAATTTTAATTAAAACATCCACAAATTTCAAGATACAAGTACATAACAAAATTACTAAGCACCTCTAGTGAAGTTACTTTGTCCATTATTTTTTCCAACGTCAAAAAATATTAAAAAATATTCTGCTCGGAAGTGATCGCGAGTTTAACAATTTGACTGGGCGAGCACTACGAATAAAAGTTAAACACTCTGCAAGCAGATAAATTGCCCACGACGTATTTCGCGAATATAAGATTCAAATGGGCAAAGCAGAGAGAGAAAGAGAGACGGGGAATAAGAGATTAGACTGCACGGTTCAATATCGCGACTAGATCTAGCCGTGAACGGGGAAACGATCTTTAACCCAAGATGGCGACGACAGTTAATTCCAGAACGGGATGGTCCACGTATTTCGCGGTACTATCTCTATAGAGGTCATCTTTATTGTCCGAGGGGGTTTGCGATAAGGTAAAATACCGGACGTCGCCGATATTCGTCGCGATAATCGCGCGGGCAAAGGTAAGACGTGCACGTGCGAATCGAAGAGAGAAGAGGAATCGGTTTTACTTCTCTCCCGCGGCCACGTTGGTGGCTATTAAAAGATCCGACTGTTCGCGAATATATATTGGTGGCGTGAACTGGAACTGGTATTTATCGAATCTCCGCGAGGTCGGCCGCGAGACGACACGAAAGCAGCGATCGGAGACAGATATTCAGGATTTGGGAGAGGATTTGGATACCATTATCAGAAAGTAACAACGTGTTCGTGGGAAAGAAGACAAGTCAGTATGTACATTTAATACTTAACATTTTAAATATTGAATATTTACTATTAATACTTAAGTTTACGATGTCAATTAAATCAATGCCGATCGTACTGGC